TTTGGAAGCAGGGTTATTTGAAAGTCATTTGAAACGTGAAGCCTACTCGCATTATTATAAGAAAATTCAATTACCAGTCCTTCATCGACTTATACCAAACAAGGCGAGTACATCCTAGCTTGTAAAAACAAAACTGCCCTCAATAATGTTTTTTTTAATTATTCTTATTAATGACCAACCAATTAATCTATTCTCTTGGTGTGCTGTGAAGATCGAGCCTCGGCGATCTCCGAGACTTTCCTATCACAAGATGAAAAGATAGAATCAGATCAAGATTATGGCGAACGCCAAGCTAAACGTGCTCGGTTGGCTGAGAGTTGCGCCGAAGCGGACGCTTGGCTAGAGGACGAGGAGGTGGAAAATGGTTTCAACTTTAAGGAGGTAGAAAGCGAGACCACCGAAAGGAAAAAGACTGAAACAAACCATACTAGCGATGATGACACTGTAGCCCTCGTTAAGACGCCCAATACTTCGCTTGAGTCGTACGAGCCTCGAGAAGGCCAAGCGGAATTTAAGCCAATTGTAAGTTTACCAGTTTTTTATATTCTTATTACACAACCACTTATTTTCCTTGGTCTTATTCAATTACCAATCAAGAGATTGATACTATGATTCAACCGAATGCCACCAAAGATTAGTACAATTGATTGGCAATAGCCAGATCTATCCGCTAATCTGTCTGTGTTCCTTTCACTTAATCACTTATCACCTTGACAATAACTCTTGCCCTTATTACTCCTTCCATAGATCCCTGATCTGATTTGAACATACTTATTAGGACAATTTCGTTAACCAATCGATTTTGATTCTTTCACTTATGATTGGTAGTAGACAAATCTATCCTTGCATAACTGGATATACTTTTTGTTGAGGATCATTTTCTTCTAAATCAATGCCTTCCATTTCCATACTCTATTTAAAGCGTGAGGTCGACTAAGCGTCGAGATTAGTTTGGTGATCTTGCGTTCACGCACAATGAAACACCTAACCAGTTTAATGTTCATGCTTATTTGAATAACAATCTGTTTTTATTTTATCCCCTGTTCGCGCGATAATAAATAATAGTGTAATATTAACAGGGTTTATGCAAAAAGCTGTTTCTAAGACTCCATAGTGCGAGTAGACTCTCCATTTAGAGGAAAGAATTCGCTAACTTGGCTCATCGGAGTAATGGCTATTTGAGTGTGCAAAGATGTTTTGGGCACATCATCTCGCTGCTCCGATGTGCCCGTGTTCAGCTTTTCTCTGTCGTGTGACACACATCGTCAGCAATAAACCATATTTTATTAACTGGCTCACTAATAGACTGAAGGTGTTGCGTGCATGTGTAGTTATTTCTTATATCTAAATTTGCAATCCCGAGGCACCTTCTGATTTGGTTGGGTGTTTAGTGCTTACTACACATGCTCGCTTGAAGCAATTACAGCTGCCTCCTTAAATATATGAATAAGTGTATAATATTCCCATTTTAACGCATAGTTTGGTGCGTTGCGTATTTATGGGAGCAAGTTCAATTCATGTGACTAGATTCGAGTCTGTTGAACTCTCTTGTTCACCTTGACTACCTCTCATTATGCCTATCCAACAGCCATAAATAGTTTCCTACACTTTTCCCCCCTAACCTGGATTTTGGCTATTTTGTCAATTTCTATAGTCTTCCTAATCTTACGCTTTGCTGTAAAGTCCCCGTAACCTGCGAAAAGTTGTACGTAGGACCATTCTATTGGATTTCCTGTTTTAGCCATATTTTTATCGAGTTAAGATTTTTCGACCTATATAACTTACAAGCGGCTTAATGTTTATACAATCTATTATGGATCGATTAGCAGGCCTCATTCGTAGAGACATTGCCACATGAACACTAAACCTTCTAAGACCATTATGTGGAGATAGGATCCGAAAGTTCTAAAAAAGAAGGCACGATTGATGAAATGTTAATTTCTCCTTATACACTGATGATTGACTACCTCAGTGGTTCATCTATTTCGCAGTCTGACAGGACAACAAAATCAGGAACAGAATTAACATATACTGTCCTCACATTGCCTATACATATTATTTTAAATTATAATCCCATTTTTGATTAATTAACTATGATTAGTTCAGTCCATCTTATATTTTTTTTGTCTTTCATGAATTAGAAGCCGGGGTACTTGATTAGAGCCAACATATTTGTCGAGGAGCTAGATGAAGAAGATTTTCCTCAGGTAGAGACAATAGATGGCGACATGGAGGCTAAGGAAGGAGACCAAGAAATTCTCTCAATTCAGATGAACTCGCCAGAGTCGGGCATGACGGCCCTTCGCCATCGCAACTTATGCTCTCCCAGATTGGTTTTGAAAATTGCCTGGCTAGACGGATCAAATCGTGAATCAGCTAATCAGATCCTCTTTTATCTGATTAATCGGCTCAAATAACCCCTATTAACAGAAAATATAACTCTACAACGTGCAAAAACAATGAGTTCCAGCGCAATGGCTAGCTCATTCTGACTGGATTATTGCATTTATCAAGAGAAGCTTGCTCATGAATAATTTATGTTTTTTTTTAGATATCTAGGACTAAACTAAAGTATTTACAGAACATAATACATAGATTTAAATCCACTAATTTATATTCACCTAAGAAAATCTAATGGATATCTAAATTTGAAGAAAGCGTATAAAATGAATTGAGTTGGGAGTTTAACGGCTGACTTAAAAGAGTGTCATTTAAAATCTCATTAGACCGATAAAGTTGGGGGTTAACTTATATGTTTTTTTATTTGTCTCTGCTCCTTGATATTCGCCACTTAATAAGCAAATTAATCGGCCGAGGTGCTGCGTATTGCTTCACTTATTTCATGTCTAAATAGCTTATTACAATTAGCATCCCATGGGCCGGTAGTTACCTATTTAAGTAAGCTTAAAGTCGTAAATTTGTCGCGGATATACAGGCGCTGTGATGAACTATTTGGTAGCCCCTATGCTAGTAGCCAAACAATAATGATAAAGAAAAACTAAAAAAAGTGGAGTATCGCAGCTAAGATGATGACCAGCTGTGTGTTTTAACATATTCCAATTTTCAGTATAAAGCATCAATGATATCATTATGAAAATTTAATAACTTCTTAACAAACTGAAAAAAGTCAAAAATTGAAAGTAAGACAACCAATATAAATTAAAAGGACGGATTTATAGAGCTTGGAACTGCTATGTCGGCTAGTATGACTATCCAACAGGTAGAAGAGCGAGATCGTTACAAAATCAACAGAGATAGTAAGAGGTGGAATAGGGTAAGGTTGATACGCAATTTTAAAAAATAGAAAATATGTTCAGGAGGTAACATGTTATCTCGTCTATAAAATAAGACAAGGTTTAAGTGACAGGGCTTTCAGGGAAAAGTCAGACAAAAATCTTCTTAGATATATTGAATAGAAAAGATTCAAGCAGATTATCGATTACAAAGAAATAAAGGCAAAGTGGTATTAATGGTAGTCTCTAAAACTCTTCTTGAGTGAGTAGGTTACCTTAGCATACTTTAGAAAAATAGCCTGAAACTCCGGCTTGTTCCGGGAAAAAAAACAGCCTAATTGTGGTCTCTACGATAATGAAATAGGGGTTAAAAGCATAAAAATTACAGACAAGTAAAAACAAAAGGCTTATTATTTAAATATGCAAATAAGCATAATCCCGATTAATAAAGAATAGAAAAGCAAGATAAATTTGGTTAAAGTATAAAAAAGAAAAAAGAAGTAGACATCTGAATAGAGAAAGGGGAATGGTTATCAGCAGAAAGACGTAATCAATCTAATAATTGAAAAGGTAAAGCTGGGTTTGGAATGCATAAACTCTAGAGCGAATTAAAAATGTACATTTTTAGCCATTTTTATTCAGTGGAGGACTAATAAATAACGAGATTTGATGTGCTAATGAAGAGGGAAGTATACTCGTTGCTGAACAAATAATCCTTTTCACATTCATATAAAAGTAATAATTAAAATAACAAAGTAGTCAAGGAAGTTTATGGCAGCAACGATAAAAACATTAGCGTAATTATTTGTGTTAGTCGTGTCAGTTTAACAATAATTACCATTAATAGTGACCATATAGTAAGAATATAAATCTGCTTATAAAGCTATAGAATAAGGACTGAATAATCGCTGCCACCCGAGTCAGAATCGCTATTATGAAGCAAAAATTACGTTTCTACATACCAAATTATTGAGGCAAAAAATTAGTGCAAAAAGAAGGAATGCATCATGAAAGAGTAACAGAGTAATCAGTATATCAAATTTAGGAGAAATAGTCTGGAAATGTTGTTACTCCGAAGGAAGTTAATCGATTTGAAAATTGAAGACAGAGATCAGTTGAGGTTCGCGTGAGAAGCACAGCACCAATGTAAATGGCTCAGTCAGCCTGGTCAACAAAGATAAACAATAATAGGGTAAATGAAAGAAAAATAGCAACTTGGGGCAGAGTCTGCAGTATATATGTGTATATATGCATGCATACATGATGGTGCTATTAGTAATTTTGGAAATTTCATCAGAGTAATAAGTTATAAAGTCTGTCAGCTCAGAAGGCAGCCACAGCCTGGTCGAAATAGGTGGCGATGAGGCGATGAAAATTAGCTTGGTCGCGTAAATAGCTCGCCATCGTACGCGACCAGTCGCGTGCAGTCTGTGCAGACAAATGACTCATTTCGGCTTGAATAGAACGAGTGATCACTGTGCACCGCTGGCATATGCCGTCGGCGTCAGAGAGGGTCAGCCGGTCCTCACTCATACCACGACGAGCCTCGTCTGCGGTGTAGCAGGCGGCACGAGCGAGACTGGTGATTGAGGGCTGACAAGAGATTAAACCGGTGTACTCGCGTTGACATTCGAGCATAAGATCAGTAGCCTCAGACTGCGAGAGATTGCGGAGCAACAGAAGGGTATAAAAAGGGGAAGTCGGACGTGAATTAATGCCAGTCGGGAGAGTGAATAGGGTGCGTAGAATGGTAAGGCAGAAAAAGATAGGCAAAAATCTTCTTTATCGAGGGGATGAATTTTTATCAACATGTAAAAGAGATTAATGGATTCGCAAAAAAAGTTAAACAAGCGTTTAGGGTAACTTAAAAGCATATTACGAGCGCATTAGTGGTTGTGGATGCTTAGGAAAATCTAAATTTTTCAGCTAGAACAATTTGTATGCACATAGAATGACTGGTATTGAAATAGCATATTATTGTGCATAAAGAGAAGCTGGGAATTGGTGAATTTCTAAAAGATTATCGTCTGGCCGGCTTTAATTTTGCATTAAATCAAATTGACTTAAAGCTACCAATGGAACAATACATCACAATAATAGTAAAGGACGCAGACAAGGGACATTATTTTGAATCGGCCTGACACCACGACAGAGCGACGAAAGTGGCCTAGGTCTTGATGCCTATGGTGAAATAAAACCAATTTTAAAGGAAAAATAATTATTTTCAATGATAGAGTTTAAATTATTGTATATATAAAATCTATTTCGTATAAGGAGATGAAGGACCATTAGTAGAATTTTCCCACAGTCATATGAGTAGAGCCGATGTTTCAATTGAATTTTACACAGCTTTGCTTTCTCAATCCACCCAGGAGGACCGCAGTCACGACCTCGCATAGGTCTCATCAACAACCCCAGCGGGAGTCGAACCGTGACAGTGCAGCATGTGAGCATGGCATGTTAACCACTCGGTCACACTACCATGAGTGCCCTTGAGTCACGGATTATACTCCGCAGCGTCATGGTTCGAGTCCCGCTGGGGGTGTTGATAAGACCAGTTGAGGTGGGGTCGAAACTACAGTCCACTGTAGGCTGAATAAGTAAACTTTTTGGGGAGGCAAGGTTCAACATTGCACCTAATCAAAGAAATCAGTAGCACAACATTTGTGGGTTGGCGTACAAGAGACTTGGTATTCGGGATAGAAACAGGATAGACGCAGCGGAGACTAGAGCTAGTTGGCTGACAGTAGGCCCGTTTTACCATGAATGTGGTCCATGCAGCAAAGGCAAGACCACGAGGCTTACTCAGAGGCTTTAGCCTCGAATTAGTCACCCAGACGCAGTGGATGGGTAATAACGCCACGTGGAGCACAGAGGGAGTGGCAGGGGTCGAGTGAAATACTTGAACCAGGGAGAGTAGACGGATCACACGGGGCAAGAGGGAGACTCTCATAAGGACTATGGAACAATATGGCAAACTCTGATCAACATTCCCAACACAAGGGTGAAGGGGGGTGAGAACGGCAGCGTGGAGTGTGGAGGGTTCTCATGAAAACCGCTCAAAAGGGTACATCACACTGGATTTAAATAAGCAAGGCCAAAAATGTGATAGTGAAGGCGTGATACGAGGATATAGGATAGGTAGATAACCCATGACAGAAGGAGAGATACCACAGCTTGTTAGTACACATTTTGTCAAAGGATCGGCTTCACTTGTCTATTAAGAGTTGTAGTGTGGGCCTAAGACTGGCAAGACTCACTGATGATGCCAGTGAAACGTCTGGGAATGTACCACTTCCACGGTCTGACTTTGGAAATGATAATACATACAATGGACTCCGAAATAGCTGCGTTCCTCTAAGTCTTCCTACCAATACGACTAAGTTGTGAAAACAAGGTCAAACTAATTCTATACAACGAAAGGAGACTGCGACCACACAAAAGGCCACACCATTTTGGTATTCATATCTTCGATTAAATTATTGTGTTATGGGTAGTGGATCTGATCAAGCCTAAAGATAGACAAGAATGTTTCAATAAGCAAGTTAGTCGTTAAATTTTAACGTTTATTTCTCTTGTAATAGCTAAAAATTTTACCAGTTGCGTTCTATAATATTGACTCTAATATTATAGTCCTTGGTATAAAAGTAGATATAAATGAAAAATATCTACAGAGCGTAAAGATGTTGTGGATTATGATATTCAGCAAATTGGTGGCAAATGAGTAAAATTTAATTTGATAGAGGCAGATTCTAACAGCAATAGAAAATGATCGGCAGGACCTCCAGCGTCATACATACTACTTTGATTTAAAGCATGACTCGATTTAGAATAAATTGAGAATCAAAATTAATGCCGAAAGCGATGTTTCTCACAAAAAACTTGTTAAAGGTGGATATTAATTATGCATTTTAAGCATCTAAAATAAATACGATCAGTGATCAAAATAGGTTAACAATTTAAAGATAATCAACATGCGAAAAGAAAAGGGTGCATTCAAATTTTACCTCCGCCATTTTTATGAGTACCAATTTTATTCAG